TGACTCTGCACCTCTCCTCAGCAGCTATGTCCTCAGATGAGTGAGGGGCTGAAAAGCAAAGATTCCTGGATGGGAAATAATGGGGTTTGGTGGCTTACAATAAATCTTCAATTACATGGTGAGACCAGCCGAAGCACTGCTGGAAAGAATTGTTCATCTGGTAACATTTTCACCTTCTACTGCAGTATAAAAGTCTAGGGCTTTTTCACTCAGCTTCCTCTAAAGGGAGAGTCCTGATGAGTATTGCGGTTCTGTCCTTGTTAGCAGGAGGTGTGGATTACAGATGGAGAGCTAATGAAAGCTATCAGGTAAAATGAGGAATTTATGCACGCTGCTTTTAATGTCAAAGAAAGGCACCTTACGCAATGACTATTTAGACATATTCATTCCATTTGTGTGTTTTAAAAATGCATAAAATACTTGGATAAAAACTGGCACCTTTTCATGCCCCGGTGTTTGGATGTCATTTAGTGTCGCTCTCCCCCCAGCGGAATTATTTTTATGTATTTCTCTGATCAAAGCTAATGAGGAATCTCATCCTACTATGCTCCCCTCTTCTAGGCACTACACGTACATATAGCAAAAGAGACTGCCCCTAATTTACAATGTTCGTTATCTCCAGTGGATGCAAGATTGGTAGCGCTGAGCACTCCAATCATGTTATGGGTGCAGTTGGGACACTATCAAGGCCTCCCTTTATAGTCTCAAATACACACAGCTAAATTGAGAGGAGTACGTCTTCAAATGGAAGGAAAACCATCTCTGTGCACACCTCTGGCAGTCCGCGGAGACAGAACAAATAAACTAGCTATATGCCATCAGGTGAAAAGTATTATGTATGTATCCTTACCATTATACTCTGGGCAGTTCCAAAACATATTAGAGGCTGCTGAACAAGGAGATCATCACAGCGCTTTGGATTCTGCCAACCTGCATTTGAACTCGCAAATTAATAGTAAAAAGCTCCAAGTCCCATTCTGTGTTCTGGGCAAATCTAGTTCTGCAGTGAAGCACAAGGGAGATTTAAATTCCTATGCTAATGCAAAATTGCTGGGCTTGAATTACTTACGAAATGAGCAATTTGCTACTGGTTTTATAGTAAATAGGAATGAAAAAATGTTCTTTTAAATGTTCATCTTCTGGTTTGGGGGAAAGACATCAAAAAATGAACAAACCAGTGATAGAACATTATGGGCAACCCAAGGAAAATGCTGAAGTCACAAAATTTTAAAGGGAGGAAAGGGAAGGTTTGAGTGGGCTACTATAAGTTCATCCCCCTTATTTCATTTTAACATTTTTGCTGGGGTAGTTTCCTTCTTTCCACCCTGAAAACAATGACAATGTTACCAGTATCTTCAGATGGCACTACACATGCAGTCATTTACAGAATAGCTTCCAGCAGGCCTCAAAAACCATCATTGAGTCGTGCTTTAGAAACCCATAGCACAGCCAAATTGCAAAATTCTGGTTTTTAAATCCTTAATCAGGCACTTTTGCTGACTTCAAAGTCTGTTAATTTCTCCTTTCGTTCAGTGCATCTGCCTGTACTTTTCCTTTTCCTGAGATGCTGTTTTCTGCACAGTTTTTATAAATACCGCTAATCACATGCATTGACTGTAGAAAAAAATAGCCAGGCTTGTGTGCTCTTTTTTTTCTCCTGGAAAAATGCCATGGTGAAGATCTAACTAAAGTGGCTGTAACGATGGCTGCAGCTGGTGCCCTCTTCAAAAGTGGGTCCCCCCTTGTTGCTCTCAGCTCTGGGCTGCAAAGAGCAGAGAAGCTGGGGGACGGTGAGAAGAGTGATGCTCCTGGCATCCGCAGAGCATTTTAATACATCTCATAGTGGTTTATTAGAGTCACCTGTTCGAAGGGATGGGGAAAAAAAAAGATAAAACCTTGCTAACAGTCTAAAAGCTTCCTGAAAACAATTAATCTCCCAATAAACCCCAAAAGGCTATCTGTCAAGAAGTTAATAAAGATGAAATGTCAGGATGCCACATGGCTGCGAACAACTGCAGGCAGGAGAGGAAATGAGCTCCCAAGCAAAGAAGCACCAGCTATGTCATCTCGCGCAGGATCACGTACTAAAACCACACTGACTTTTGTGTTTCTGCAGGCATCTCTGATCTTAGCATCTCTGCTGCTGCATTGGCATTATCAATGCAAAAGCCCACGACAGAGAAGGATGGAGCAAGTCCAGTCTGCAAGCGTTGGATCACCCAGAGGGGACTGGTGGGAGAAGCAGAAGCTGCCCCGTGTCCCGAGAGCCGTGTGGATCAGACGCAGACCAATGTCCAGGAAGGGGCAGATGGAGCTGTCAGGTAACCCCGGAGCACGGCCTCCATCCTGCACGGCTCTACTTGTCTGCATTTGTCTGCTGGATTGTGAGTCAACTGGTGGTTTATTTCCACCTAGTTACCAAAGGGAAGATCAGAGCCCTGGAGCAGAGCCCTGGCCCCGCTTGCTGCCAACGAGCAGGCAGTGAGTGACCACTTACAGCCAAGGCTTGCCCGGGAGAGGGAAGGGAAGGGAAGAAAAGCAAAGCAATCAACTCCCCGTGCATCCTCTGTATTGCACATGCCTAATAATCTAATAATACCAATATCCAGACCACACTACAGACTTAGCGCTTGTAGAATACCTCTCGGTAAGCTTTGAATGCCATCATTTTACCGTGTGTTATAAATCCTAATATGGCCAAATTGTGAAGTCCTTGATTTTTACGCCCTTAGTCAGGCACTTGGCTGATCTGAAAGAAGGTTTTAATAAAATAAGTGTATTTCTAGTCTGATGAATGAAATCAGGACTTGCTTTCCTGGTTTACTGTATTTTCTATTAAAAACCAGGGCTTTGGTTTGGCAGTGAGCCCTGTGCTACCCAGTGGGAGGATGCAAAACGTGGACAGGCTGATCAGATCAGGAAGTGAAAAAGAAACGCTTGATTTCATTTTTTCAAGATTGGAGAGAACTGCAAAATCCAACAAGCAGCATCAGTGGCAGAACATGAACGGAATCTCTAAAAATCTCTCTGCTTGAACAACCCCAGGCCTTACAATGCTTAAAATAAAGGGGTTTATTTCATTTCAGTGAAGAATTCTCATCTCTGCTCTGTCCATTTAGTCACATACCTTTTTTCTCTGCACCTTCTGTCTACCTAAAACAGATTTCCTCACCTACTATGAAATCTTAATGTTCTCACTCCATCACTGTCTCAGGCACCTAATTGGCCAGGCAGGTCCTTGATTGGATCCCTTCTTCCCCGCTCTCTTTTCACATTATTTTTTCCTACTGGTGGTTGCCTGGTAACCCTAACACCTCTGCTTCCTTCCCAGGAATTTTACGTGTTCCCCCTCAACAGGTAGTGATAAAAAAACATTATTTCCATCCTGACGGCTATGTCCCTTCTTCATCTGTGCCTCCACACTACGCAATGTTGAAGGCAGACAAGTCACCCAAGCATTGACCCCAGGCTAACTATCTCTGCATAGCCAGGGCTGCTCATCCCTGGGCCCAGAGAGAGAGAATTAACACCAGCGACTGAGCTAACCTAAGGTGGGCAACTTGGTGCATTTGCTGGGCCTGTGAAAAATGAGCTATAGCAAAGTGTTCCTTCTCTGCCAGGTAATACTGCATTATCGAAGGTTACTTGCGAGGTAATTGGACACTGTTTTGGGCAGAGGAAAGTTCCAGTTTGGTACGGGTGGCATGGGTTTATGGGGGCCTTTCAGCTCAACAGCTCCATGAGGCTTTTGCCTGCTTAGTCTGCACAAGATATTTTCAGAGAGGGGATTTACTCGGTCACTGAAAGTGTGGCTGAGAAGGTATGGGTTCCTCTTCCTTTCCACTCAGAAGCTGCTGCAGAGAGCATCACTATAGGCTTCCCCTTGTTGCCCCATAGCCTTTAAGCTACAAGGTCCTCTACATGGTAGGAAACTACTAGTGAATAGTGCTCAGCATGGGCTCTGGGAACTAATACAGGTGCATAAGTCTGCTCAGATAGTTCTGGACTGCAATTTGCAGAGGAATCCCATGCTCAGGAGCATCCATCCCTTCTCCTGCAGGTGTAGCAAAATTCCTATCACAGGCTGCATTAAAAAATGATGGGTTTTCCTCCCCAAATACAGATTATCTCATCTTTGGCTTCAGTATGGTCCCAAAGAAGCAAGGTTGATCCCTTGGGTGTCAGAAAAATATCAGCCCATCATGCTGGTGCTGCACTCTCCATCATCAGAGATGGAGATTAGTCTTGCTCTGCCACTTCACAGAAACTTAAAGAGGCTGTACTTGTGACCCTGCCCTCACAACGTACAAAGCTGGAAACAATCTAGCTTGGCAAGAGGACACTTTCCAGTACATCTTTCACATGAGAGACATCTCCATCTGGGGATATTCTCTCAACCAGCTCAGCCAAGAGTGGGCCAGTTGTGAGTATTTTACATCAGTCTTTGATAGGAAAGAGTAGGTTAAAATTAATTAAGCTCACATCACAGAGATTCAGCATGTGCTTCAAACAAGTGACAAACCTGCACTGATACCAGAGCTTCATCTGTATAATTGAAAGTGCCACAGCACCTCTCTGCTTTGCAGATCATACTGAAGTCAGTAGCTATGTGGCAACGAACAGAATATGCTGGGATAGTTGCACATCCAGCAAAGAGCCAGTCATGTTTTCCTGTCAGTGCAAAGGAAAGCGGAGCAAGGACACTTTCAGATTAACAAGGAAAAGATCCTATGTGATCATTCCCCCCAGTCCGCTCTCCCCAGTGTTTTAAATATCCCCTTTGTTGAACAAGAAAAAAATCAGAATAGCAAGGCAGGAGATGCATGAATATAGCTGATCTACTGGAGAGAAGCCAAAACAGCAAAGCCAGGCATGTGTTTCTATAGTACTTAGCACAGTGCGGCTCCACTGGGACTCAGAAGCTATCATGATCCAGTGATAAATAATGATAATAGGAACATCAGGAGATGAATACAGACAAGCTATATGTCCTACAAATCTGTCAAAAATTAACATTTACCATCAGCAGTACACCACATGACTGACCTTCATAGCTTGATTCAGTGCCACGAAGTGTAGACCGTTGTCTGAAGGAACAGAAGGTAAGGCAGGGCAATGAGCACCCTCTATCAATAGGGCTGTTTCTCCAGGACAGGCTTCCCCAGTATGGGACAAATCAGCAGCAAAGTGTTTCATTCACATATTGAGCACTGTATCTGTAAAAAATTGCATCTGTAAGAAATTGCATTTCCGCCCAGCAGAAAATGCCCTTACATAATCAGCCTGCACTGCGTACTGGAAAATAACATCATGAGCCTTACCAAGCTATATGGTCTTGTTCACCCAGCCCCAAAATATATCATTAACCCTTGTTTAGTCTCTGCCACTTTACAAAATCTCTCAATCACATCAATTTTTTTTTTCATTCCAAGTTATAATAAGATTTGGATTTAAGGAAGGTTGAGCTAAATGAGTTTCTTTGCCTTTGTAAATCCACTATCAGAGCTGTGGCGAAAGCAATACCCTTCAGACTTAAGCTCCAGGTTGACTGGAGTATCTTTTCCATCCATATTATCCATCTATGCAACTCAGGATGGTGGTTCCTTCCTAAAAGGGAAAGGTGAGCAGAGAGGAACATTTTATGGCTTCTGACTTACTAGCCTTTGAGACGAAATTTTGGACTCCATTCTGGGCAGAATAACTGGTCATTTCAAACTGTATCTCAGGTGAGTATCAAGGATACAGAAGCTGTAGCTTGAATTTTTGTATTTCTCATGGGTTTTCTACTTTCTCATCCACAGCGGCTTTTATGGCAGATCAAATGTCTCCTCTGTCTTTGAACATTTACAATGGTGGATGTGGAAAGCTGTATTCATCACACATTTCTTTCTCTGTATGAGTCTCATTTGTTATAAATCATATGTCTACCTATGTTTTATAGTCATTATTTATCAGATTTATCAGTATATTTTAAAATTTCATTTGGTCTGCCTACAGGAAAAATACAGAATATATTAAATGTTGTAAATTCTTGGTTTTCACCCCAAAGATCTCAGGCCTTTCAGGTCAGGAGACATTGAGTTTCCCATTTGTGAATACTATGTTTCTGAAGCCTGACTGCCTTTCACTGCTGATGGAGTGGAAGTGACTGTATACGGCATTTGTTTTCCAGATACTGACCATAGCATATCCTATACCAATTTTCAATGCAACAGCTTGTCTCAATGACATCCAGAACCTAGTTCTTTTTAGGGCCTGTGTTTCTCATTTCTGTCAGCTGAGCAGATAAACACTAGATTTATGACTGCCAGGGTATGTCAGAATATCACCTCTCAAACAGAAGAAAAAGAATCATCTATGAAGCTACAAAGATGCTGCTTATCCAGTCTCTCTACACAAATCAACCTTTTCATAAAATATTTGCTGTGATATAAAAGTGACCTGCTTGTTTTCAATCTATAGAAGACTGTCTGTTAGAGAATGATCTGATTTGTAATGTGAGCATGACACTAAGTGATTTTATAAATTCCTATGTCCTTAATGCAGCTCAAATATCTCATTTCAGCATCCATCCTAATTTTAAAGCACTCTTAATGCATATGGTAAATACTTAGAAGCAAGTTTCCAAGTACTTTGTCCATGCCTGTCATCTCTTCATTCCCTCGTTCACTAGGAAAATGCTAAAAACACATCGTAGGCTGCTAAGGCGGCTTCACAGGTACCCTGATACTGGCCCTAAAGCCCCCTGTGAGAGGTGCAGCTGAGAAGCCTCATCCCAGCAGGTGCGGCTGCGGGACGTGTCAGAGGGGCTGGGCCTCTGGGAGAGGGGAGAGAGGCGGGAAGGTAATTCGGCTGGGATGCACAAAGGTGTTGCTAAGAGGCTGGACTTTCACCTCGGGCCCCTGTCACCTGTCCTGGATCATGCTCCCAAAGGTTAATGCCCTGGCATGCTGCAGGGGTCAGTCTCTGAAATCAGCAGCTTCGAGAGCTCTGTGCTGCTCCTGAGCGTGTGTTCACCCGTTTTGTGTTATCAGCTGACGGGTTTGTGGCAGTGTCTCCTGTTCTCGTGTGAACCTATCTACAGAGGGCATCACCTAAGAATAATCTGAGTAAACTGTGTGGCTTACGTGGAGCACTTCACATTTAGTAACATAACATATAGAATCATAGAATGCTTTGGGATGGAAGGGGCCTTTAAAGGTCAATTAGTCCAACCCCCCTGCAATGGGCAGGGATATATACATATGAGTTACTGTAGGAAGAACCCTTAAACACAAAGAAAAAAGAATAATCAATAAACTAAACCAAATACTAAATGGGT